ATGAGTGCGAGTAAAAAAAAATGTACCTTAAACTAATATTTTTAATTTCTTATTTAATCAGAAGTCGACATGGTTACATCGTTAAAAGCTATATCGCTTTTATACAGATCGAAAAATATTACGGAAAGTATGTTATTTATTATGTCGTGTATACAGAATAATTGAAAATCACATTATAAGAGTTATCACCTTTACACAATGATACAATAATTTATTCAAACATTTAGAAGGAAGTTTTTTATATTTTACATAAGTTATTATATAAATTTAAGATTAAATGCCTTTAAAAAAAATTAAAACTTATAATGATAGTGAAATGTTTCTAACCCTTTAAAATTTGGATTCGAGAAAAAAAATCAACGAAATGTATCACAGTGTTATTTTAAATCAAGTGCGTAAAATTGGAATCTATTATTTTATTATTTCATTAATTGTTTGGCAGGACACAGTAAAAAAAATAATACAAAACTATAACTTCATAAATGAGAATATAAAGTCTGGTCTGGCGCCTTAAGAGAAGTGCCACATAAGTGCTTAAAATTCAACTTAATTTTTAATACTGTATTATAATTGTTTTTGTTTTTTTTTTTTTTTTTAGGTAATAAAATATTTGATAATAAAGTATATTGTGAATAATCTGATAACTAATTTCAACTTAATTATATGTAAAATACAGAATATTTAATATCTAACTTTAAAAACATAATAGCAAAAAAAAAACAATCTTAAATTGTTAAATAAAGTTTGAAATAGAATTAAAATCACATAGGTGCGAAGTTACCTCATAATTTGTTCTTTTCGGCTCAATTTTTCTATCTTCTTATCGGTTAAGGCTTGCAGGAAGTTTCTTCTATTTTTCTTAAATTTGTGGTCTCACCATCTAATTCGTTTAATCTTCATGTAATATTTGAAGCTGTCATAATATTTGTTTCTGAAGTTGATCGTTCCCGTTTTTTTTTTCCGTAACATTTTTCTTCTTTTTCTAATAGGTTTTATTAGCATATCTCCAAGAAATAATAACCTTGTCGCCTCTTCTTATGTCTCCGTGTCGGCTTACTTGTCACATCCGGTAGTGTCAATTCAATAGTTGAAAATTGTTCCTTTAGTTTTATATTTATTTTTCCATGTTTCTTTAACTATTTGTGCAGGCCGCGGCGGTGCGCGTGGCTTGTCGCCGCGCACCGCCTGGCAGGGTCGCCATGTAATGTTTAACGGTTGGTAAATGAAAGGAAGACGTGTTTCTCTACTCAAGACTTTAATTATACTGACACTTAAACCTAAGAGTAAGTATATTTATTAACATATGCTAGTAGGGTGGAGGCACATACACTACAACGTTCTGTCTCCCGGAGGGGTGAAAAGTGGATTGCGGAAGCCCGTCTGACTACGCCGATTGTATGTGGAGCAATGAATGATAAGTTGGATGAAGTATACGAAATGATGAATGACAGAGGAATAGATGTGTTATGTGTAAATGAGACGAAACGAAAGGGAAAGGATGCCACTGCACATGGCACGTATACCGCGTATTGGTCTGGTGTAAACGAGACCGAACGGGCATGCCAGGAAGTCGGTTTCATCCTTTCAGAAAGAATGGGTCAATGTGTGAAAGAGTATGAATGTGTAAGCCCGAGGCTGCTATGGATACGAATGAAAGTGGGCTTAAAGAAGCTGTTCTTGCTAGGGGTGTACGCCCCAGACATGTCTAAGCCCACTTACATCCGAGAGCAGTTTTGGGACATGGTAAGGATGGTGTTGACAAAATGTGAGGAAAATGAAAATATTATTATCTTAGGAGACTTTAATGGAAGGGTTGGAGTGAAGAGGTCTGGTTATGAAAGGATATTGGGAATGTTTGGTGATGAAAGTATAAATGAGAATGGTGAAGACCTCCTCACCGTATGTGTTGAAAAGAATCTCTTTGTGACGAATAATTTTTTTTCGTCATAAGAAGATTCACATGTATATATGGGAAAGAGGTGATGATAGAAGCATGATAGATTTCGTAATTGTGGATGAAAATATGAGGAGCGCAGTCGTAGATACAAGGGTTTACCGGGGGTCCAACGTAGGGACGGATCATTACTTGGTCTTACGTCGAAATAATGGTGTTTTCAAGCGTTGGCGGCATCGGACATCTGTGTCTACCACTGCGTTACAGCGTATAAGAATAGAGAAGTTACAAGATGAAGATGTGAAAGAGAAGTATAAATGTAGACTGAGATAAAATATTAGGTGTTTTAATGAGTTTTGTATGAATGATTTAGACTTGAATACTGTGTGGGATAATATTAAGAAAGATTTGGTGGATGCAGCCACCGAAGTATGTGGTGTAAGTAAGAGAACAAATGAAAGGAAAAGGAATACGTTGTGGTGGGATGATGAGGTGCGGATGGAAGTTGAATCAAAGAAGTAAGCGTGGTTAGATTTACTAGCAACCAAAGCTGGTAATTTTTCTGGTATTAATGATGAGATTGAAAGAAAAAAGGCAGAATTTAGACGTCTAAATAAGAGAGTAAAAGAAGTAGTTGAAAGGAAAATAAAGAAAGAACAGATAAGAATGTTAGAAGGATATCTGATAATTTCCAGGCTAATATAAAAATGTTCTGGAAACTCGTAAGAACTGCCAGAGGAAATAGAAAACAGCCTATAATTAATGCTATAAGAGACGAGAATGGATGTATTCTGAATGACGAAGTTTCGAATTTAAACATGGAGGGAATACTTTGAAAGCATGTTTATGAGTGAAGAGTCGTCTGAATTAAATGAACAAGAAATTCCGAAAGAAGTAGAAAGGGGTATGGAGATGTAGAAAAAGAAACAAGAAAAGCATAAAAGCAGGTAAGGCAGCTGGATATGATAGGGTATCACTCGAGATGCTAAGGGCTGGAGAGGGAGTGGCGGCAGGCCTGCTGTACACCTTGTTTAATTTATGTTGGGAATTAAAACGGGTACCGGATGACCGGTGTAAAGCAGTTATAGTACCAATATATAAAGGAAAAGGGTCACAGCAGGACTGCAAAAACTACCGTGGTATCAGCTTGCTTAGTATTGTGGGTATACTGTATGCTAAGGTGTTAATTGAAAGAGTTATGAAAGAAACTCATGGAAAAATTTGGGATGTACAAGCGGGTTTTAGAAAGGGAATGGGGTGTACAGATCAAGTCTTTTCCATGAGCATGATTGCGGAGAAGTTATTGGCTAAAAACAGAAAGTTTTTTGTGCGTTCATGGACTTGGAAAAGGCTTATGACAGAGTTGACAGGAATGTGTTATGGCAAACACTGAACTCATATGGGTTGAGCGCTGGTTTGATACAGGCATTGAGGTCTCTTTATAGGGATTCTAGTTCTTGTGTCAGGATCAATGGGGTCTACTCGGACTGGTTTGGCATCCGAAAGGGTGTCAGATAGGGCTGTATGGCTTCCCCTTGGCTGTTCAACCTATTTATGGACAGGTGTTTGCAAACTTTGAAAGATTAAGAACCCCACGTCTTAATCTTTCAAAGTGTTTAAGAATGGGCGAGTTAACCGTCAAATGCCTTTTGTATGCCGACAAGTCATATTTGCGTCATCGGCGGCTGAGTTGCAAATGATGGTTACATTAATGAACTGGGCATTAAAAGAAAGGGGAATGAAAGTGAACGCAAGTAAGACGAAAGTGATGGTTTTTGAAAGAGAGGAAAGCAAAACGGTATGTGAAATAAGAATAGAAGGAGAGTTAATTGAGCAAGTGGGTGAGTTTATGTATTTGGGATGTGTATTTAGCAGGGATGGTAGATATGATGAGGATATAGAACGACGAGTAAATGCAGGGAATAGAGTGAATGGGGCACTACACTCTATTGGAACCAGAATGTTTCAAAAAAGGCACGTGTGGTAATTCATGATGCTGTGTTAGTCCCTACTTTAATGTATGGTAGTGAAAGCTGGGTGTGGCAGAAGAAGCACGAAAGTAGAATAAATGCTGTAGAAATGCGGTCTTTAAGGAGTATGCTAGGGTTGAATCTGAATGACAGGGTGAGAAATTGCGTAATAAGAGATAAATGTGGTATGCAAGATGATGTTGTGACCAGGATCAAGAAAGGAATGCTTCGGTGGTTTTGTCATGTAGAAAGAATGAATGAGGAAAGAGTGACAAAGCAAATTTATATGGCAGATGTGAACGGCAGAGTCGGGAAGGGACACCCTAGAAAAAAGTTTATCGACCAAATTGGCGATTTTAAAAATGGGCCACGTTAAAAGTAGCCTTAACCGACGAGCATGTATGCGTAGATATATGGATGTAAAGGAGGCGAAAGAGGTTTGTCAGGATCGTGTCAAATGGAAGTCCTTGGTCTCTGCCTACCCCTCTGGGTGACAGGCGTGAGTGTTTATTATTTATTTTATATTATATATTTATATAACTAATAAAAGACATGCGCCAGGTTCAGAACGGTTCACTTGGAATACTGTTCCCATCTCTGGGCTGGGGTTCCTCAGTTGCTCTCCTTTCAGCTCATTTCTTTTGATCGCATCAAGCGCGGAGCCCTTTGAGTCGTCTGCAACGGAGCTCTTTCCGATCGGCTTAGCTCACTAGCACTGCGAAGAGATATTGTATCTTTTTACGTATGCTGTCGTGTTTACCACGAGGAAACCTGAGAGGAATAATTCGGACTAATTGTAGCCGCTCACTTTCACCATTGCTTATCGCAACAGAACTCGAGATACCATACTTATCACCTGAATGATTGACGGTCTACTACTGTGTAATTTACAAGAAGTTCTCTTTCTCGCACAACTTTCTTGTGAAATCAACTACAACCAGCGATTTTCCGGATCTATATTTAGGGACCTTTCAGAAAAGAGCCTACTCTTTTTTAAAAGGCCGGCAACGCATCTGCAATTCCCCTGGTGTTGCAGTTATTCATGGGCGGTGGTAGTCACTTACCATCGGGCGAGCCGCATATTCATCGTATGGTGGGTAACATGCTACCAAATTGACTATGATAATTTTTTTCAGGGACTTTGTCTCATGATAGTAAAGAAACTAAAGTTGCTGATACTGGTTTTGCAACAGTTGAAGAATCTGCAGTTGGAAGAAAGAAAGTTCATAAAGGTATACATTTTAATGCATAAATATGTGTTGGTTTTACTTTTATAGTCAGACATAATTTTATTAAATTAAAGGATGCTGAATTTAAAGTAACAATAATTTAAATAGTTTTATCATTATCATGACTTACAGATTGGACAGATGTTGAACTTGTGGCACAAGCTGTTCTTTTCCTCTTCGCTGGGTTTGAAACAATATCAACGGTGCTAGCATTTGCTTTGTATGAGCTGGCCCTAAACGCGGATATTCAAGAACGCTTGGTTAAAGAAATTAAAGAAAACGAATCTAAAAACAAAAACAATGAGAGATCAATTGACTATGACATAATACAACGTATGAAATACTTGGATATGACAATATCAGGTACAATTTTGTTTTTGCTTTTCTCTCTCTAACTACAAATAACTTTTACCTCCTTTTCGAAAAATTGTAAAGAAGATTTTTTTCCTTTATTTTTTTGTAATCAATTTACAGAAGTTCTACGTCTATGGCCTCCTGCACCCGTCGTGGACAGGCTATGTGATAAAGATTATGTTATGGGAAAATCAAATAATAAAGCTACACATGATTACATCGTAAGTATTTTTTAGAAAATGTTATTTTATGCAATTGTGAAAATATTTGAAATTTTATGGACTATGGTATTGTGCCTAATTTTTTTTATTTTTTTTTTCTAAATATAACCATGGAGCTTAGCTTAGTACAGACAACCAAATACTTGAGGAATACCTCATATTTCTGCTAGGTGATAGTATTATTTTTCTGCCTAGGATTCTGTCGTCTGGATGTCTGAGTAGAAAACATCCTCATACCTATTTCTGTCGAAAAGTAATAGTGCTTGAACCGCTGAGCTTCGATCTGAAGGATATAAGTATAATCACAGGTTGTGACGCAATCCACCTTTATCTTCATAGGCGATCATCTGACATTTGTAGCAAAGTGTATATTTATTTATATACTGTGTCTATAGTCTACTTTATTTAAAGTAGGCTGCAGGTGTGAAATGTGTATAGACTGCAGTAGCCACTTACCATCAAACTGACTGTAAGCTCATTTGTTACTACATTTTTATAAAAATACCCTGTAATTACACTGGAATACAGTAGTAAGTGCACTGATGTTTGTGCAACCTCCTCCATCACTTTGAAATACATAAAATATTTGAAATTTTGTTTTTGTTTTAATGACGTCATTGTTCTTTTATTCAACTACGCATTCAAAACTGTTAGTTTATATATAATATATATTAGAATATAATAAATAATAAAATTAAAAGAAATAAAATATCTTTGTAGTATAAATGTTTTGGCTAGACAAGGGAAAGACCACCCTCTTACAGAATACCAGCGTAAAATAGCAGCTTAATTTTGTAAGTGTGTTTGGTATAGAACCGAAGACCCTTTTTAATGGAAATGAGGCACAGAACATCTCAGCCCTCACGGTTGACAACGCATCTGCAATTAGATTCCTAATTAAGGATATATGTAGATGTCTATGGGCCACAGCATCCACTTACGATTAGGTGGAATGTGTGCTCGTTTTTCATCCTTATTCTATAAAAATGTGATGATGCAAACCTTTAAAGTGTAAAAAAGGTAAATTGCGACGACTTAGTTTAAAAAAATCATTATTCCATAGCATAGGCTGTAAAATAATTCGATTCCTTAAAAACGCTCTAATACTCCATAAAATTATTAAAAATAAATATTTCAACAGATTTGCAGGGGCGAAGCGTTACAAATTCCAATTTGGGCTTTCCATCGTGACCCAAAATATTTTCCGGATCCAGAAAAATTTGACCCGGAGCGGTTTTCAGAGGAAAATAAATACAAGATTAAACCCTTTACTTATATGCCTTTTGGTCTGGGTCCGAGGACTTTATATTATTATTACAAATTATTTTATGTATGTCTTTGTCTTTCTCCTATTGTGGATCTACCTCTGCTGGATGTAGCATTTTTCAAATTCAAAGTCAAAACAATTTTATTCAAAGCACTTTTTGGAAAGTCATGAAAGCTATGCCAAGCAAGAAAGCTATGTTTAATAAATAAATTGTGGCACACCACACTCATGTGGCCATACTCACTTGGGATGCTAGTTTGTAAGCTGAGACAGTAAGCCTTATCTTTCTCTCGAATTTAGATTTATTAATTATTGGATGGGTTTGTTCTACCATGATTTGATTGAGAGAATCTATTTCATTAATCATTAGGGTATTCCGCATGCAGGTGATTTCTCTTAGCACAAAGTTCGTTATTTTATTCGTGTTTTCTGAGGAGGCATTTATATTTCATGTATCCATTCATAACAGCCTTTCAAAACTTGACTGCTAATTATAGGCCTTCCCGAAGATTATCTCATGGGGAGCATTTGCCACAGTGGTTACGTTTGGCGGGTGGGCTGGCAACCGCAGGTTTTTATTATTTTAGCTATCATCCGGTAAATGCTTTTGCCCACCTCGATTTCATTTCAATCTGTCACCCATTATGACACCTATGGGTTGATATGGGGCTATGGATTCCCTTATATCGACACTACAAAGCAAAGAAAATTATGTAATAATATAATTTTAGAAATCATCAATCTTAGAATTATAATATATTAAAAGCTAAAGCCAAAGCTAAAGCTAAAGCTAAATTTTAGGTTCTGAAATGAAGTGACGTGATCAATTATTATGAGTAACCTAATATTTAGTATATTATTCCCCATTCAATTCGTTCATTCCTTTTGTTTTTCGATAATAAGACTGCTGAAAATGCAAATGTGTTGTCACTCTTTAAGACTAAGTTGGATTGTCTTATTACTAGTAAATGGGTATCCGATTCTCGTCACTCACACGACGAAACAGTTGCAATATACTGCTACTCTCCATTGGAATTCTGTGCAATCGTGGTCATTGCCTGATCGCGTCGATCCAGTTATGCTGTTTAACTCTGCCACTAACACACACATTTCATTAAATTTACCCATTATTATCTACTTTACACGTAAATATTTTTCTCAAAAAGACCAGACCAGCCATTTAGCGAGGAAACTCAGCCAGCGTTCTTGGCATTACTCCAGCATAAGTAAAAATTAATAAAAATGTAATCGCATAGATATAAGTTTATATTTCTATGTGTTATTGGGTACCCATCTTTAGGCAATCTCTTATCTGTTGTATGAGGACCAATTGTTGCTAGATAAATTCGGGAGCAAATTACGGATTACGTTGTTGCGGTTATTTTTATAGTTTGCCGAATTTGTTTCTTGGTTTGTTTATGGGTCCGTCCGTTGGGTCGTTTTTGGGTCCGTCTACAAGTTCGTTAGTTAGTTAGTCTACTACCGTTAGTTTGTATGACCAAATGAATATTCTTATTCCAATTAATGTAGTTTTAGGTCTTCGTGAGCTAAAAGTACAAATAAATCATCCTTTACCGGCACAGACAGTAAATAGATACATTATAACAGTTATTTTATTAAAAATAAAATTATGACATAGTTAAATACGTATTACTTCCAGGTTCAAGATTCGCATTATGTGAAATTAAGGTTGTTTTATACCAATTATTACGGCACATGGAAGTGTCTACATGCGAGAAAACTCCAATTCCCGGGAAACTACGACCAGACAGCTTTCAAGTGAGGCTGCAAGGAGGACACTGGGTTCGAATGAAAATCCGCCAATAATTATTGTGGAATTAAATTTAACTTGGGTATTTAACGGAGTGAATAAAACTGAATTTGAATTCTCTATATATTTAACAAACAATTATTTAATACAACGTTGTACGAATGAACTTGTCACTTCAAACGTTTACTCGGTTTTAGATCCTTTTATTCCACATTTACATTGTGGTGTATTCAGATAACGTTGTTTGCATTTTGACTTTTACAGATTCTGCACCCAGGGATGATTTAAGCTAGTTGACTGTGCCGTATTTTATATTTTACCCGAAGCAGTTGTGGTCCTCACCCTCACCGTCACTTCTTTTCATTACTTTTTCCAGGTGTTCGTATTTTATACTAAATATGCTGGCTATGGTCCCGAGAGTATAATTATGGTATGGTTTTGGGAGAAAGGCAAAGCAATTATGTAGGATACTACGTACGTAAGCACTTCGGTAGCCTGTCATCTCAGGGCTACCTCGAACAGCGGCAGTAGCGGCAGCTGTACTGAGTAACCTGAGGTACCTAGTAGTGGTCAACGAGTAGTGGTCACCGTGCTGTGGTCACTGTGTAGTTATGGTGTAAGAATATCCACTACCCCATATCATCTCGTGGGTGTCGTAAGAGGCGACTAAGGGAAGTTGGAACAAGAGATGGACAGCAAGCAGCATCTTCGTGATAACAACACCAAAAATTTGTTGCCGACCCCTTGACAGCTATGACAGAGTCCCCCCCTATGAAGTAATCTGTAGGGGAGATCTGGAGGGGATAAATAATAGAACTGAGAACTGAGTAAATTGTTCGTCGTCACTGATGACAAGAGCACTGGTTCTTTTCTCGCCAATAGGCTATACAGCCATTCAACGAAAAAAGCCAGCCAGCGTTCTTGGCACAATGCCGCGATGAGTATAATAGTTTAAGTTTTTAGTTTATTTAATTATAAAATAAGTATATTGTATTCATAACTATTATAATATAAATAAATAAAATGTAAATTAAAATTATAATATTTTAATACATTACTGATATACTGCTTTTTAATAACTTTCTATTTGGATATTTTATAGCAATATAACATATTTTAAGAAGTCAAAACTTCGCTTTTAAATATGCAAAGAGTCATAGCCTACCGTTTTTTAACAGGGTGTATGTTTTTTAGTTTTTTTAATAGAATATCGGTGACAAAAAAGTGCACACTCCGTAGTAAGTGGATGCTGTGGCCCATAGATACCTACCGTTATCGTTACAGCCTATCAAAAGTCCACTGCTCAATACAGACCTTTCCATAGATTACCTTTCTTTTGCCATAGTTGTCACGCATGCCAGACGGGTCGGCAACCACAAATTTTGTTTTTTGTTGTTATCAGGATAATGTTACCTATCTCATGTTTCAATTTCCCATTGTCGACTCTTACGACACCCAGGGGACGATATGGGGTAGTGGATATTCCTTTACCGCCACTACACGTTTATAGGCACCTACATCTATCTTTAATTAAGAATCTAAATGCAGTTGCGTTGTCACCCTTGAGAACTAAGATGAAATGCCTCATTTCGAGTAATAAGGATCTCCGGTACTCTACACTCACTATAAAAAACAGAACAACATTAAACTGAGACAATATGAATTCAAAGTGCTACGATTCTGACACTGAGAAATGTAAATTCACTTGAGTGGATCGATATTATTGTGAGAAGCGAAAATTTCCGGTAATATCGGCCATATTGAGTGTGGTGTTCCATAGAGAAAAAAAATCATTCGCTTTCAGACTCTTTCAGGAATGCCTTAAAATTTAATATAAAAATGTTAAAAATGATGTTGTCTCTCCGAGTTTGAAGACTTCCTCAATTGCGTGCACTATCCACTTCACCACTAATCCCGACACAACTTCACTATGAGGAATTAGACTCGGCGGTGACTGATTTTTATTATTAATTTTATCAATACATACGTACGTACGTACGTAATTTTTTCGTGTCTACGATACCAATAAATAGCCTGAAATACAAACACATCTCATTTAGTAAAGTTTAGTTCGCAGTGAACGTCGTTGATGCAGTATTTGTGCCCAACACAAATTTCTACCTCGTTTAGTCTAGTCAACGGAGCGTGACTTGTACGGGTTTCCCGAAATACGTAAACGTTCAAAATATTTGCTATCTTGACTGTGATAGCATCGTTGTTTAGTTTTTTGCAAAACTTATTTCATATATTTAAAGTAATAATACTCAACAATTCTCTGTGTATTTACAGTGTAATAAAATACGTGAATGAATAATATAATATCAAAAACATAAAAGATAATTAAATTTGTAAAAAACCAATAAATAATTTTTAATAAATATTAAGCGATAAACGCACTTTACCCAAATTATTGCAGTGTCGTGATGAATATACAGGGTTATTTTGCAAGGACTATCCAAATTTTATATTTAAGTTCGACTATAATTTATGAGAAAATTATAGTCGAAATTTCGTATTTTGTTGGAAACATCTCTTTGGTTGTTCTGTTTGTATTTGGGTGGTTTGATATCAGTAGATATAGGACATTAAGGAAAAGCGAAAAAAAAATACTTACACGAAAAATTTGATATATTCTGAAGTTTTATTGAAAAAAAGGGAAAAATACGTCTCAAGCCACGAAAAAAATTTCACCAGAATTTTGAGGTCAAAGATGCAGCTCGCTCTGGTCGTCCTCACACTCGTACGGATAAAGCCGATGCCATTTTTGAAAAAGTGGGCAAAATTGTCATGTTAGTAGTTACTACATAGCTGAGTAGTTGAGGATTGACCACAAAACAATCTTGACTCATTTGAAAAAGTCTGGCTATACAAAAAAGCTTGATATTTGGGTACCACACGAGCTCTCTGAAACAAACCTAATGAGTCGTGTACTCATTTGTGATTCTCTACTGAAACGTAAAGAAACCGAACCATTTTTAAAAAGATTGATTACTAGTGATGAAAAGTGGATCACCTACGACAAGAACGTGTGTAAAAATCACGGTGAAAGGGTAATCAAGCTCCACAGACTGTAGCGAAACTCGAATTAACACGCAATGAGGTGATGCTGAAAGTATGGTGAGATTGGAAAGCAATTGTTTATTATGAGCTTTTACCGCTAGGCAGAGCTATCTATTCGGATCTCTACTGCCAACTAATGAGACTCCAGCAGTAAATTGAGAACCAACGGCTGGAATGGATCAACAGAAATGGATGATCTATCATCATGATAACAAAGACCGCACATATCTTTGGCCACTCAGTAAAATTTGAGAGAGCATTTTTTTGTTGATTATGTCATTACCTACAAGATGGCAACAAGTTATCGAACAAAGTAGCACATACATAATATAATTTTATTAAATTAATTTTGAAAAGAAAATATCCTGAATTTGTGTATAAAATACGACGCAACTTTTCCCCCAACCTTATATAAGTTATTGCAGTTTTTGAAAATATGAGAAAATGAGGCTTCCAATTTTATTTGAATTTATCCCAAATTGAGTGTGATTTATGGGCAAAAATTATACGTAACCGTACCTGTACCTAAATTTGTAATAGAGCGACCCTTACGAATGAGTGCGTTCGTAGTAAAATAATAGGCGTTAGACAATAAGTTATTATGTACTACGTACTAGAGGCGACACTGCATTTAGTTATACTGTACCATTCAATTGCAGCGTTAGCGCCGCTTTTTAGGGTTCCGTAGTCAACTAGGAACCCTTATAGATTCGCCATGTCTGTTAGTCCGTCTGTCCGTCCGTTAGCACTAGAAAGCTGAAATTTGGTACCAATATGTGTATCAATCACGCCGACAAAGTGGTAAAATAAAAATTGGAAAATTTTATTTATTAGGTTAGCCCCCTATATGTAAAGTGGGAAGTGATTTTTTTTTAATTTCAACCCTAACGTGTGACATATTGTTGGAAAGGTATTTAAAAATGAATAGGGGTTCACTAAAATCATTTTTTTGATAATGTCAATAATTTCGGAAATAATCGCTCCAAAAGTAAAAAACAATGTGTGCCCCCCCCCTCTAGCTTTTGAACCATAAGTTTAGAAAATATGAAAAAAATCTGAAAAGTAGAACTTTATAAGGACTTTCTAGGAAAATCATTTTGAACTTGGATTGAAACAACAGTACCCACTACCGGGAGCAGTTGCAGGAGCGCGGAGCGCTGCTGGAGCGCGAAAATAATGGATACCCACCTTTAAACTCATAAGTGGGAACACTTATTGTGACGGACGGGAAACTACGGAACCCTACACTGAGCGTGGCCCGACACGCTCTTGGCCGGTTTTTTTACTCAGTTACTCGCTGGGTGCTGTTGAGTTGACACGTGTTGATTAATTATATTAGAAAAAATTCTTGATAAAATATGCCTTTGTGTGTTTTAGATATTGCAAAAATAATTCAAGTAATGTTACCAAGGAATAATTTTTATGAGTTAAGAAGACTTAATCAATAAAAAAGTATTGCAGATTAAAAATAAAACAAATTGTTCCTAAGGCGTCATCTCGTGTCGTGGAATATAGATTATGTAATTAATTTGTTCAGAAGCGAAATTTCTGTGGGTGCATAAGTATAGGATGAATATATTATTACGCACAATTTTTTGTAGAAACATATATGAGTTATCATTATAAGATTTCTTATATTTAAATCTGTTCATTATTCTTTTATTTTATTTTTAGGTTTCCACATCAAAGTCCATTTTTATCTCCCGCGTGTCCAGCATTTATGTACTCTATATACTCTTATTCCTACGAAAATAAATATATTTGTGATTTAAAAGTTATATTAATAAGTTTTGTTAATCAAACTATGTCAAATATAAAAAAACATACTAAATGTATTAGTATGTTTTTTTATATTTGACACTGTTGCCTTATAAATTATTTAGATAAAAATATCATTAAAACGTAATTGTGGTATAATATTATGTAATGTTAAAATTATTTAATTAGCAAATACAGAAAATAGATAACAAAATTTAAAAATTATACTCGATATAAT